CTGGTTGTTACAAATTGTAACGAACGCTGGTATTGCAGATACCCGTTCGCTTATTTTCTCCCAAACTGCTAGAGCCTGAGGGATTATAGCTCGCAGTTTGGGTGTTGATTCAAACGCTTCTCCAGACAAATTACCGCCTCCAAGTATATTCTCCCAGCAAAGTAGACAGGTACCCAAACATCAGTCGAAACTAGATGAAGGGTGTAACAGGAATGCTTTATTGAGGCCAACCACCTGGCTTTTATGCAGTGAACAATACACAGGGTTTAGGTTGACATATTCCAGGGGCATTCCCCACTGAACCTGAGAGGGGACAGTAACAAAACATTTTCTGTAAGTCTATTGGCTCTCAGGTCCAGTGCACTCCTACATAAATAATATAATCTTCCCCTGTACTGGGGAAATAATTGAGTCAAGCAATTAAATTATCTCTGAACACAAAAAACATACATTTTCATAAAACTTGGAAAGTACCCCAAACTCCATGGGAACCCCATAAAAGACATATCCCCTGATAGCCCCGATCTGGAGGACCAACATATTCAAAAATCACCCAGATCTGTTCAGGGGTTCAAAATTTACATGGAGGTCTTAATTTGACAGACCGCACATGATGCTTCTGCCCAGAAGTACTTCCATGAAATTGGGCTGTGCGCTCGGTCCTTTTCAATAAGTCCAAAAACTGAAATAATCCATGAACGGTTCCCCTGGCTCATAGGTAGCATTTGTTCCCCGAGTTCATGGGAACAAATCTACCGAATAGCACTCTCCTGGCTGGTCTGTGAAAGAAAGCAGGAGTTTGTGAAGTTTGACCGGTGTTCGGGAAGTCAAGTGTCCAATTTTGGTTCCAGACACTCGACGACCAAGTACTACTGCCTCCTTTCGTGCAAACAAGATGGCCGCCATTTCCTCTTGCACGCGGCTTTCGACTACCCGAACGGCAGCCACACCGGGAGAGCCCTAAATTGGCGGTTCACTTTGAAGTAAATGAGCCAGGGGGTGGTCGGTGTTCGGTAGTTTTAACTACCAAACAGGAAAAAAACAAAAGTACCAAAATAACAGGGGTAGTTTCTTCACACAAATCAACATTGACATATCTTCGTATAGAATATTTCAGGTATAATGTATATTTCTTGTGCTATCAATTTCACTATGCTATTTTGTTTTTCAAGGGGCTTATTTGTACTTTATCAGGGGATGTAGTTGTGGAGTTTGTTCTGCTTATGTTCGAGCACCGAATTTTTTTTGAGGTGTTGGTTAATTGTTAGAAAACAGTCTTCTTTGCTTTATAAAATTCCTTTGACGTTAAACTTGCCAAGTGTCGGCTGGTTCCATTTCAATAACTCTTCTTCCGATGGATTTTAATTGCTTACACTTTTTATAGTAATTAAAGGGACACTATAGTCACCTGAACAACTTTAGCTTAATGAAGCAGTTTTGGTGTATAGAACATGCCCCTGCAGCCTCACTGCTCAATCCTCTGCCATTTAGGAGTTAAATCCCTTTGTTTATGAACCCTAGTCACACCTCCCTGCATGTGACTTGCACAGCCTTCCATAAACACTTCCTGTAAATAGAGCCCTATTTAGGCTTTCTTTATTGCAAGTTCTGTTTAATTAAGATTTTCTTATCTCCTGCTATGTTAATAGCTTGCTAGACCCTGCAAGAGCCTCCTGTATGCGATTAAAGTTCAATTTAGAGATTGAGATACAATTATTTAAGGTAAGTTACATCTGTTTGAAAGTGAAACCAGTTTTTTTGTCATGCAGGCTCTGTCAATCATAGCCAGGGGAGGTGTGGCTAGGGCTGCATAAACAGAAACAAAGTGATTTAACTCCTAAATGACAGTGAATTAGCAGTGAAATTGCAGGGGAATGATCTATACACTAAAACTGCTTTATTTAGCTAAAGTAATTTAGGTGACTATAGTGTTCCTTTCATATGTAAAGCACTTATTTACATAACCAATGATAGTAAAAGTGTTTTGGAAAGGTATCGTAGTAGTGAGATTGTGATCACTTAGACATGGTTAAATTGCTGATAATTAGCAAACGATTTATGGAAATGTATCCCTATATCTACATTATTTTCAAATTTGACTGGTTACACATCTTGCTAAATTGAATTTAGAACAGCCTGACAGTCATATATTATATGATATCAATATACACTGAAAGCTCAAAGCAGGGTTTAAATTGCATAAAATGACTTAGTTATAAACTACGACAGCAGCTGAAAAACACCAAGGCACAAATATCCAAAGTCACAGAGACTGTGTTTAAAGGACTATAGTGCCAGGAAATCATACTTCAGGGTCCCCCTCCCGCCCGGCTCTGGAAGCGGGAAAGGGGTAAAAACTTACCTTTTTCCAGCGCTGGGCGGAGAGCTCTCCTCCTGCGATCCTCCTCTTCTCCTCCCATGCGGCTGAATGCGCACGCTCGGCAAGAGCTGCGCGCATTCAGCCGGTCACATAGGAAAGCATTATCAATGCTTTCCTATGGACGCTTGCATGCTCTCACTGTGATTTTCACAGTGAGAATCACGCAAGCGCCTCTAGCGGCTGTCAATGAGATAGCCACTAGAGGAATTGGGGGAAGGCTTAACCCATTCATAAACATAGCAGTTTCTCTGAAACTGCTATGTTTATAGAAGAAAGGGTTAATCCTGGCTGGACCTGGCACCCAGACCACTTCATTAAGCTGAAGTGGTCTGGGTGCCTAGAGTGGTCCTTTTTTTTTTTTCAATTTGACAATTTTTATTTTGTCATACATCAAAAAGCAGCGTATGGGGGGGGGGGTACAGAATAAAAAGGGGAGGGGTGGGGAGGGGTATAGGCAACGTTGTTTACATGTACACGTTCTGCCATGGGTAAGTACATTATACATATATCACATCACATAGTTCACATCACTCTACCCGCGTTACACATTTCCAATGCTAGCGTATACACTTCAACCATTACACATTAAACGTTCCTTTTTTTCACCAATCCGTGTTTGCTACCTTTCTCGGAGTCGCAAGTGTAGGCTGGAATGCTGGGCGTCTAGTGGGTAGTGGGTAACTTAGTTTTAGTTTTAGTTTTGGTTTTGCGGCGCGCGTGTTGTGTTGCTCGCCCGTGTCTCATGTGTTTTGTGCCGTCCCCTTATCCTTGTGTACTGGCCTCCTGCAGGGAGTCTGGGTTCTTCTCCCCTCGGGGAGCTAGCGTAATGTGGTTGTCTGGTGGCCACATCTGGTCAGGGCGTACCTGAACTGTTAGCGGGTTGCTCGTTAAAGCGGCTGCCTAGTTACATAACAAGTAGTAACACTATAGTTGTGGGGGTGGGGGGGGGGGGTGTGCAGAGAAGGGATGGGAAAGAATTAAGGGAAGAAAGGGGAAAAAAAGAGTTAGTTTGTAGACCTCTTGAAAGTGGTGCACCTCTTTGCCCTCCCATGGGGCCCATGCCTCTTAGTTGTCTATTCTACCTGACTACCTCCAATGCATCATTGGTGCTACGTGTCAGGACCTCCTCCCAGATTAAATCTCAGACGTTCCTCGTCTCTCTGGCTTTTGTGCTCTACTCCAACACTCTTGTCTTGGCATACCTATGCGTCCTGAGTTCTGGAGTGGTGCGAACTTCTCTGAACGTATCTTTCCCATTTGTTTTTGGTGTCTATGATCATGTGGTTATTTGTAATGTATTTATTTGCCATAGCCTAGTATTCCCAGTTTGTGGATGTTTGTGTTAGGAGATCGTGTTTGCTGGGTGCTTGTGGTTGTTTCCACTGTCTGGCTATCAGGGTTACTGCCGCTATGAGCACCTGGAATATCAGTTGTCTTTCCTGCTTGTGCCATTGGGCAAGATGCATGAATAGTATGCCCTGTTCCGGCCCCAGGCTGTATGGGCGGCCTATCACATCAGTGATTACCCTTTCCACCATCGCCCAGTAGGGAGTGATTATCGGGCAAGTCCACCATATGTGGTACAATGTCCCCCTTTCTCCGCACCTCCTCCAGCATTCCCCTGAGCTTCCAGGGTATAGTTTCGCTAGTTTGTCCGGGACCATATACCATCTATACATAATTTTCCTCATTGTTTCTAGATGCGTCGCGCAAGATGTATGCCCTTTGTGCGTTTGGAATGCCTGTTTCCAGTCTAGGTCTGCTATTGGGTGTCCTATGTCTTCCTGCCAGGCTTCTCTAAAGTCTCTGTGTCTGTTCGTATCTGCTGTATTCAGTAGTGCATATCATTTTGACAGGATTTTTTTGGGTATACTGCCCTGTAGGCATATCTGTTCTAAGGCGCCAATGTTTGGTGGTACGGCACATGATCCCTTGCAGTGTGTGGCCACAAATGATTTCAGTTGGAGGTAAGGGAATATGTGTCTGGATTGCAGGGAGAATTTGGTTTGCAGTTCTGGGAACGGCAGTAACTCGTTGTTCCCGCATAACTGGCTAAGTTGGGTACATCCCCCTCTCACCCAGGGGGTGTGGTCAAACGTCGGTATGCCCACTGAGATGCTCCTGAGTGGGATATTCCCTATGTTTGGTCCGACCATGCCCAGTATTGCCCTCACAGAGTCCCATGTTTTAATCATTGCTGCCGTGGTTGGTAGCATGGTTGTGTATGACGATCGTAGTTTGTGTGGCAGCTGGTATAGGTGTCGCAGCCCCTGTTTGCATGCCCAATGTGCTTCAATGTGGACCCATTGGGGGGGGTCTTCTACTGCGTTTGTCGCTGCTATGGCAGTCAGCAATGTGGCTCTATGATAAGAGCGGATGTTGGGCATGCCTAGTCCCCCTTCCTTGATCGGTTTTTGTAAGAGCTTGCTAGCCACCCTCACTTTGCGATTGGCCCATACAAACCGCACAATTAGCTTTTGGATTGTACTCATGTATGGGCCCGGCAGACTTATCGGGACCGTGCGCAGCAGGTACTGGAGTTTGGGAAGTATAGACATCTTAATCGCCGCCAGTCTGCCCAGCCACGAGAGATATTTACCCTCCCATGTGTGTAGCGTGTCTGTAAATGATTTGATCAGTTTAGTGAAGTTTAGCTTAAACAAATGGGGTAGGTGGGGGGGTATATGGACGCCCAAGAAGGTAATATAATCCTTCCTCCAGTCGAATGAGAACAGCTCACTCAAGTGTTTCAACCGGTGAGACTGGACTCCCACACCCATAGCCTGTGATTTAGCGACATTTAATTTGTAGTAGGAGTTAAGGCCGTATTCTTTAATGACTTCCATGAGGTTTGGTAGTGAAATTTGGGGTTGCGTTAGTGTCAGCATGACATCGTCCGCAAACAAGTTAATTTTGTATTCCCTGTCGCCCACTGTTACTCCGTGTATGGAGCTGTTGGCCCGTATTGTCTCCGCTAGCGGCTCTAAAGCCAACACATATAGTAAGGGGGAGAGTGGGCATCCCTGCCTCGTACCGTTAGTAATGCTAAATGGTTCTGAAGTGAAGCCCGCCGTGACCACCTGTGCCGATGGTTTGCTGTATAAGGCCTCCACCGCCGAGCAGAATGCCCCCGGCATCCCAAACTTATCCAGGACCGCTGTCAGGAACCTCCAGCTCAGGCGGTCAAAGGCCTTCTCCGCGTCTAGTGAGAGCGTTACACATTCTGTATGTTGCCTTTGAACGCTATGTATAATGTCAATGACCTTTCTCATGTTGTCCCCCCCTTGTCTCCCTTTAACGAATCCTACTTGATCGTTCCTTATTAGGTGTGGGAGGATCGTGCCCAGTCTGAAGGCGTATATTTTCGCGAAAAGTTTCGTGTCTGTGTTCAGTAGTGATATCGGTCGAAAATTTTGTGGGTGGATTGGTGGCTTGCCCGGTTTAGGCAGTGTAATGATGTGAGCTTTGAGGGCTTCTGGCAGGAGTGCGTGTTTCGTGGCTGCTTCATTAAAAGCATTAGTAATGTGAGGGGCTAGGGTTCTTTGGAAGTACTTGTAGTAACAGTTGGCGAACCCGTCTGGGCCTGGGGCTTTATCAGAAGGTAGAGAGTCAATCGCTCTCAACACCTCCGTTTCTGTTATCAATGCGGACAAACTGTCCTGCTGAGCGGGTGTAAGTTTGGGCAGGGCGATCTTGTCTAAGTAGGAGGCTATTTTGGCCCCTTGTGGTTGGGGTGTATTTGGGTCGTCCCTGAGATTGTACAGTGCTTCGTAGTATTTGGCGAATGCGTTGCTAATGTCTTTGGGTGCCACTATTTTCTGTCCGCTTGGAGACAACAAGTACGCTATTTTTTGGGCTGCTTGTTGTGACTTTAATCTTTGTGCTAACAGTTTACCTGCCTTGTTTCCCTGTGTGTAGTTTTGTGCTTTTAGCCTTTTCAGGTGGTATCCCACTTGTTCCAAGGACATTTGGTGCATCTGTCTTGTGAGTTTCATGATTTGTTCCCGCAGTACGTGTGAGGGAGTTATTTGGTTTTGTGTCGTGACACGCTGGAGGTCTGTTTGGCATGTGTGGAGTTGGAGGCGGGATTTCCGTTTTAAGTATGCTGCCCGCTGTATCAGTTGTCCCCGTATCACCGATTTGTGGGCCTGCCACAGGGTACCCCGGCTCGTTTCAGGCCTATCATTGTTTTGGAAATATTGGGCTAAGTTTTGGTTCAACTCCGTGCAGAAGGCACTATCCTTCAGTAATGTTGTGTTTATGCGCCACGGGCTTCTATGGGTCGGGTCATAGAGGTTTTTCAACGTTAGCTCTACCGGGGCATGGTCGGACCATGTAATCTGTCCTATCTCGCACTGGGCCGTTTGGTCTATCCCTGTCCCTGAGATAAGGAAGCCATCAATGCGGGAGTAGGTGTTGTGCACTGTCAAAAAGAATGTGTACTCCCTTTCCCCTACATGAGTGGCTCTCCATACATCATACAGATGGTTATTGTGTATAAGCTTGCAGAGTGCTTTACTTTGTTTGCGGAGGGGTGCGCTGCGCTTTCTAGCTGGAGCTAGTGTCGTATCTATGGAGGGGTCGAATACATGATTGAAGTCGCCACAGATGACTGTCGTCCCTAGCTGTACTGACTGTAGTTTCTGTATAATTTTATGTAAAAAATTGCGTTGGTTTGTGTTGGGGGCGTATGTGTTCGCTATGGTGTAAGGCATGTCGTTAATCGTGCCTACTATAATGACGTATCTTCCGTCCGGGTCAACGTGTTGGGAATGCGGGGCATAGGCTACATTTTTGCTAATTAGTATGGAAGTGCCTTTGGTTTTGCTAGCCGATGTGGCGTGGATTTGTATAGGATAATCTTTCTGTAGGACGGTGGGGTGTGCGTTGGTCATGAAATGTGTCTCTTGAAGGCATAGAACGTCTACTGCTTTGTGTTTGATCTCTCGGTATAGGAGGTGTCTCTTAACCGGGATGTTCAGTCCCCTAACGTTGTGTGAGTAGATTTTCAGGGTGGGAGGTGGTCATAAGATGGTATTTGTGCTTGTGTTCGACATTTATAATTCGGGGAGTCCCTGTGTCCCAGTTCCTCCGAACTTAAGGGCTGTCCCCGGGTAGCAGGAGGGCTATTTCGCATGTCTCTCGGTGCAGAGGGAGAGAGCGGCATGGTCTCTGCTCTATCTGATCTTGGTCGGTAACTTACAGAATGTATGGCAAGTGGGAGGGGTGCATGAGGCGCACACATGAATACTAACATAAAAACATAATAGGTAACAGAAATAAGCAAACTATAACAAATCAACTTTTTTGCCGAGATATCGGCTATGCATCAGGCGGTGGTGCAGTGGGGGTAGGAACTAATGGTTCCTGTCTTAGCTGCGGTTCGTCGGCCGCGGCCTTTGCTCTCATGTTTCGCTTTTGTCTGGGTGACCCTTTTATTTTTTTTTTATTTTTTTTTATTTTTTGTAAAAGTTGCGTGGATGAGCTGTCGCTGTCTGCGTCCTGAGAATGCATGTTGATATAGTGTAATAAAAATGAATATATAATGAAAATTTTTATTTATTTTTTTTTATAGTAGTCTGGCGGAGCTTTCTGGGGGGGTCTGTGGGGGGGGGTTGTGCGAACACGAGCTCCACTGCCTGGGCCTTTCCCGATGTTAGGCTCTCTGTCACTGTGTCTATGACTCAGGCCCCTATCTAGTCTTGGTCCAGATTACGTCTGTCCCTGTACACCCTCAGCCCCCACAGTCACCTTGCCCCGCGTCTTTGCATGCAAATCTATAGTGTAGCTCCCATTTACGTTGCCATTAAACATAGAAAAGTTCACAAAGCAAATGTTATACAAGCCTGGATTCACAGGGCTGGATGGACAGTTCTCAGGCTCAGCGACACAGCATCCTCTCAGCAAGGCGAGTTAGCGTTTGGCTTTCCTCCATGATGGAGGGAGTCTTTGGGTCTCTTTCGTTGCGGGCGGAATTTCTATGCCCCAGGTTCTAAGGATTTTCATTCCTTCGTCTGGGCTTTGTATTGTAGATGGTCTTCCGTTTCTCTGTACGATCAGCTTCACCGGGTATCCCCATCTGTATGGTATTTGTTGTTGGCGGAGTTGCGTCGTGATTCCTGCAAAATCCTTTCTGCGTTTAAGCGTGTATGCTGAGATGTCAGCGTAGATTGCTATTGCCTGGTACTCCGCCGGCATGTCTGTTTTTTTTCTGGTTCTGTTTGCTCTCATTACCTCTTCCTTTATGTGAAAATAATGCATTCTCAGCAGTACGTCTCTAGGGGTTTCAGGTGGTAAGAAGGTGGGTTTTGGCACTCTGTGAGCCCGGTCCATCAGGAACATGTCTGGGGGCACGTCAGGGGCGAGCGCTGTGAATAGTCCCACCAGGTAGGCCGTGAGTTCTGTCGGGCCTATATTTTCCGCTATACCTCTAATACGGAGGTTGTTCCTCCGACCTCTGTCTTCAAGGTCCGCGGTTTTCCCCTCCTGTGCTTCTATTCTTTCCGTGAGGCTGTCTAGTTTTGCTGCCATGGAATTATGGGCCTCCTCATATACCACCAGCCTGTCCTCCAGCCCGGCCGTCCTGTCCCCCAGCTCTTTTACATCTGCAGTAATGGAGTGGATTGCATTTTGTAATGTGAGCTGTAACTTGCCTGCCATAGTGTCCAGCATCGCCTGCAGGATCCCCTGCGTGACCGGTAAGTCGGCAGCCGCCTGGTCTGGGGAGGGAATGGGCTCTTCCTCGCCGCCATCTTGATTTTCGCCATGTGGGCCGGATCCTCGTGTCTGGCTCGCCTTAATGCCAAAGAAGTTGGATTTTTCGCCCCGTTCGGTTTGCCGGCGGTGTTTGGGTTGGGACATCTTACTGCCACTAGCCTTGCAATGTCGGGTCACCCGCTCTGCAGCTTGTGTAGGCCTGTGCCGCACGGAGCTCCGGCTACATGCGACCGCTCGCTCCGGAGTCTAGGACACGCCCCCTAGAGTGGTCCTTTAATTGTAAATTCAAAACAAATCTATGCGTTTTTATATTTGAGGTGCACTGGCTGCATGACATTAGGGGCAATTTATCAAAGTGTTCTGTTATAAAAATTGGTGCAAAATGTAAAAGGGGAAGAGTCACCAATAGACTGTGCCTACTGGCTTCCATGGCGATTGCCCAACTTTTATTAAAATAGAAATATTTTTAGAACACAACACGATAACTATCCACCAGTGTACCTATAGGATCCTAAGTGGAGTATAGAAATTAACCGGTTTACAGAACTAGATGTGAATAGCCCTAAACCTTCACTGTCTAATCCAGAGACTATTTTACTTTTTAGCACATATATATTTTAGTCATAGTTTCGCTAACGTCCCCCACAAGTGGACTATTTGCTGTAAGTGAAAACACCCCAAAAAATGAGTGGGCAACTTGTATTTGATGAAAATGTATGAAAGGTACAGGTGACAGTGACATCTGACAGTATAAGCAAAGTAAAATAAAGCCAGAGTCAAAACATTATGCATTGTTTTGGTGCAATAAAGAATTGCTTTCGGTTCTAAGCAGCTGATAATTGCTCAGACCCAGCCTTGCAGATCGCATCTAAGCAGTCCTGTAATGCAGATGGAACTTAAAGCAGAATGTAATCAGCCTGCCATCAAAAATAGGAAAAATAAAAAATTGAGATTGCTCAGGGGGACAAAAAAAACGCCGTAAATATGCTAGAAGATTTAGGTGGTTGATAAATCAGTCCACACAATCAGAAATGTAATGTAAAGATAGGGGCAACTGCTAGGTGGTAAAAAAACATGGGTCGTCAGCTCAAATTTAAGTTTTATATCGCCTCCATATGTATTAACTTAAGCACCTCTCCAAACATCACCTATACCATATTCAATGTCTAACCCTAAGGGGAATTCAACCTTCGGCATACCAGATCTTGTGGACTACATCTCGCATAATGCTCTGACAACATAATGTGGTCAAAGCATCAGGGAAGATGTAGTCCACTATATCTGGTATCTGGTGTGCCAAAGGTTGCCTACAATCTTCTATGAATTAATTACAACACCAAATCTTTGAATGAATTCAGTGTATTGTATAAATCTGTATTTATAACTCCCACACTTACTGTATTAACCCCACACATGCTGAATTAACCCTACACTAACCGTATTAAACCTGAGCCTGCTGCATCGTAACTCTGCATCCACAGCAATAACCCACACTGTGCTGTATAATTAACTCCAAATATGGTGCATTAAAGTGTCACTGTCACATTATATAATAGGAGGTGTTATTACACAAGGTACTCTGGGCTAACAATGGAAGGTTGCCAAAATCAGACCATTGGCTTTTCAGGACCCCAATTGGGACTCCGGACCAGGTCAGCCCTCTCTAGCAACGCCCCTCATTGACTGAAGATACCTCTGCTTTAATAACATGACTATGCGGAAGAGCTCGGAGTTTAGAGGAATTCCTCTGCTAACACCCAGGAGAATCCTCTGATGCTGCTCAGTGTGAACGCTGCAATATCTGCCTGTGTCATCAGCACAGAATCTTACTTGGTTTGTCCTGACAGGACGATTCCACTTGAGCAGCCTTTAGCTCAGGCTGGGGCAGGGCAACATCAGCAGTCTGCAGCAAACCTTGTAAAGAGCCACAGCTTTGCATTGGGGTATGCACCACCCAACTCTCTATTCATCTCTTCATTAACCATTCTTGCTCTCCGCTGTAACAACACAAAAGAACCCAGACCTGCTACTTTATGATATACTGTTATCGTGTCATCTCCATGGGATTTTAGCAGTTCTCAAGCAAAAGTTTGTCACCTTTTTATTCCTGCAATAGACAAGCTTGGGGACGGGACTACTACAACCATGGCCATTAACACAGACGCCCAGTACGAGAAGGCGCTGGGGGGGTCAGGTAATGCCTTGCCTGCAGACTCGCATGAGACTGAGAAACTTCTCATTTCTGCTTCTGAGATGAAAGAGGAAAACGGCATGAAGAAGTCGTTCTCGGTGACCATGTCAAGTGACAAGTCTATGGGGGACCTCGACCAGAATGGACACAGCTTGCCCTATAAGTCAGTGTCTGCAGGGCAGCTGGAATCGGCCCCGCTCTCACCCTCCAGAGCCAGCCTTGCCAGGGCTTCTTCTACAGCTACCACCAACGCCCAGGAACAGGGCAGGCCTACCGACTATCTTGTCCTGGCCATCTTCTCTTGCTTCTGCCCAGTATGGCCGGTCAACATAGTGGCCCTGGTCTTCTCCATTATGGTGAGTATGAGCTCCCCATTGTGATTTGTAGTTTTGTGTAAAATGTGCAAACTGCACTGTTTGGCAGGTGGCGGTGAATTTAATGTATTATCTGTTAATTCTGACTATACTTCCTGACTTAACCCTTCTGCTGCCATAGAGTCTGGCAGTGCCCAATATCACACTGTTCTACTGTCGTGTCGCCAGTGTAAGCAGTAATAATGTGAGGTTTGCTACTGACGCTGTAAGGTGAATCATTGGGAAATCCCTTACATTCCAGTGGTTCTAAAAGACTACAGCGTGGCTCCTACAGCTACTGCCATACCTAGCTTACAGCTGGCTAAGCATAGTTGGAGTTGGAGTCATTGCTAATTACTATACTAGATGTTAATTTCCTCAACACTTGGAACCTCCAAAGACATATATAGTATATAAATGCCATATCATGTGTGATGTGTATGTACCGTGAACATGTGGATGGGGTGGTATTACTATGAAACTAGCAGTCTTGCTCTCCTGATTAAAGGATGTTTTGGCAATGTGCCTCCCCTGGTTTGCTTGGGAGCATGTGCTGCTCACTGTACCATATTACAAACACTTTCTTCATTAATGGGTGTAGCAGGATCCAGGCTCCCTTTGCAGCCAATATATTTCTGACCGTGTCAGCATTTGGAGATTGAATCTGTTCTGTAAATCAGCCAGGGAAACAGAGGGTGGAGAGGGGGAGCAAGCATGGCAAGATTTATATGTCATTGTTAGCTGGTTTAACCCATTCTTCTGAGACACAGAGTGGGCTTCTTAGAGGCTAATCGTAAATTTAGCCAAATTCAAACAATGTACCCGTCGCAGTCTAAGACTATTCCAAATGCTTTGGTTCTGATCAGCAGATTAATTATACGGCTAGTAATCTGAGGTTAACTCTTTGCATATATTATTTGTTTACATTGGATTAAAAAAACAGAAGGCACTATCAACTGCTTTCAACCTGATTTGTTATGGCAATAGGGAATACCTAATGCATCATAAATCTTATAGGATTACTTTAAATTATCATATTTAATTGGGATACAATATGTTCTACATGGCTGAATTCTCTTAACAGTCTGGATTTACACTGCTTACTGAATAGCAATTCCTATATTCAAATCTAAGGGAAAATTCCTATTAGGTATTCAGATTAAACGTCTACTCTGATAAGAGAATTCAGTCTGTACTTTGAAACATATTGTACCCCTAGCAAGCTACCTCACTTGCACAGAGTATGACCACATAAACCTATGGATTGTTCCTTTTAGAGTGTGAGCCCAAAGGGCAAGTCCCTCCTGACTTTTTTCTCTTGATGCTTAGGCTTTCCCTATCAACCCCATCCTTGGTGTGCACTGTACATTGTGATGCATGCTTAATAAATAACAATAATGACTTTGAGTTTGTCTAGGAATGAAAGTGTTCTGATCTGTGAGTGAATGGGGTAACACAGAGGTGAAGATGAAAATGGATAGGGCAGGGAATTAAAAAAATGACAGTTTAACCAGAAATTGTAAGCTCATGAGAGTAAAGACTTGGGCCTGAAGGAGAAAGGGGTTTAATGCCCTCATAAAACACTCTTATTGATTCCCAGACAGCAAGTGGATCAATACGTGGCTCTGGGATTTACATCAGACCCAATGGCTCAGCTGTCTTTTGGACCCATTCATTCCCTTGCTTGTTTCAGAGGATGGAATGTGTAGTAGACATCGTGTCTACATATTGCAAAATCTGCATGTATGATAGTAGGTGACAGCAAATAGGAAGGTGCTGCATTTACAAGAAATTCCTCTCGAGTTCTTATGAAATACTACAGAGCCTATGTACTAACAGAACGTTGAGATTCTCTTTGATTCTAACATTCAAAGCATATGCTACAAACAGAATGAAGGCTGCCTAGTGCCTATTTCTCAGTATCACACTCAGACACAGAATTTTGCAGTCACACCTTAATAATCCACTGGAATCGTTATCTGCTGCAACAATTAACTTTGTAGTGGGAGCATCTCTCCTGTGATTTGAATAGTACATTATAACATGGTGGCTGAAAGCATTGGTTAAATATATAATATTATGCTATGTATATTCTGATATTATATTGTGTGTTCTTTAATATATCCTGGGCTTTTACATGTAACTGTTTAGTGTCAGAGATATTGTTCGTAATATGTCAACCAACGAATTATATTGAATAACACTGAAATGAAGTACATAGGACAAAATAGGTGATTCGCAGGAGAAAATGGCTGTAGCCATTGGCTAATTTTGCCGAAATGGTGAAATGAAAATTTCAATTCACTGTATAGTTGGTGTTTAATGACATCGTCTGTCCCTCTATCCAGTTTATTCACTAAACCTGTTGTGAAATTAAAATGGAATGGCGAAATCTAAGCTGATAAAGCTGATCTGGAAAAATCATTTCAACTATAGATGTACCATAATTACCGCATGACTGTTTTATCCTTAATTGTTCAGTTTTTAATGCGCGCAGTTCTGAGTTTAGTGAATACATGCCAACGGGTTAGCATTAACATTAATTTCAGAAAACCAGAATGACTTTGAGTGTAGTAGGAAAAGACCTGTATAATAGTGAGTAATAGTGATAGGAATTCACTATTGTTCTACTGTCTAATGGATTTTTTTCTTGCTCATATCTGCAATCCATTAACGTTCCCACGGATATTTTCTCCGCACACTCCCTTCAGTGCACAA